GAGAGCAGGTCCAACAATGACTATAGCTCGACTTCCTTCTTATATACAGTTTACACTAGTAATTATCCACTTAAGATAAGTGAAGTCAGCAGTGCAATGACTCAACAGTACAATTATGATAATTGCATTCAGCAGTCAGTCAGCAGTCATTAGTCATTACAATCACTCAGCAGTACAATTACTCAGCATTACATCTTACAGTTACAGAATACATTTAAAGTTATAGAACACATATATTGCCTGGACAACTTGTTAGATTTACACCATATCCTAACATCCCTTTTTCTTCTTGTGCTCTGGGAAGAGGTGTAGAGAATAACTTCAGTGGACCTGATAAACCCAATACTATAATTACAAATTATTTTAGTGTCTCAAAATTAATCTATTTATTTCATACTCAACAACCCAAATGTAAGACTAGGAAAGTTAACATAAAGATTGATCTTCATTGATTACCATTTTTACAGCTTTTATCATTAGATAATGTCCATAATTAACAGAAAAGTGAAAGCACTGCCTTTACCAGGGATGTTTGCAGATGCTTACCACTCAGGTATCTTACCTGAGTATCAGTAATAAACAGGCTTCTCTTGTGTGTTTAACTACGTGAAATGGGAAGTTCTCTTTTCAGTTGCAGTCTAGGTTTAACAATCATGTTGAGTTAGGGTTGAGAACAAGATATTGTATATAATATCTATATGGAGACTGCAACCTGTTTCCATATCCTACATATTATATGCTTAGTGTCCCATCTATCAGACCAAAACTATCCCACTTCCTTCTTAATTATTTGCATGACTGGCTTGTATTGCCTCAAGTTAAGTAGAGGGAGAAAGTGAATGGGTTCTAGGTTCAGCCAAGAAATATGTCCCATCAAAAAGAATCAACAGGTTTTCCACTCTCGTTAATATGTAATTAATGAGTAACCTGATTAGCATAATCAACCTCCAATGCTGCCTGAATTCTTAATTGTTTTAGTTTAATTAGTTCTTAAGTAGTTATAAGTAACAATGATGGATAAGTAGAAATCCAATCCAATTTAATATTCCAAGAGATATGAGTATTGAGAAAAAAAAAACCAGGGAAAGATTATCTTGTATTTCATTAACCAAATGGTAATTAAACAGATATTTTATGTCTCATTTCTGCCTTATCACAGCCTAAGTTGCAGTTCTATTTATGTTTGCGACCTAGATTTTGGCTTCCTCCTCCAAACTAGCCTCCTTTACCTTCATTCTCTCTCTCTTTTTACCATGTGATTTTTAAAGCTAGTTATATTATAATCTGAGTGTTAGTTGATCTAGAAACTGCTTTTTATCTTTCCTACAATTTTTGTTTAAATTTTAAATTAGATTTATTTGTTGCCGATATCACTTTGAAATGACCCTGGGTGGTTTACAGTATTAAAATCATAAAACATAAATATTTCTAAAACAACGAAGTGGGATTACAATCTATATCTAGTTTTTATTTCCTAGATCTTGCAGTTCAACTACTGCACTTAAATTATACTTTCCTATTTTTCACCAATTTCCCTGCAACTACTGAGTTGCATCAGTATAAGGAATCTTTGGACAGTCTTGTACACAAACAGAATAACAACATGCCCACTGAATACTGAATCTGATAACTGATCAAGTACAACATCTACATGTAGATCAAAGTGATTAAACAGATTTATAAATATATTGTAAAAGTACATGCAAATCTTACAAAAGTAGTATTCTAGTATGAGTTTAAAACTCTCTGTAACACATAGACAAAGAGGCATCTTCCTGTTCTACCTTTATATTCCTGTACTGTATTTTGTGATTTGGGTTGTCCATTTATATTTTCTGCTACCCATTATAAGTTTTACCCCTTCCAGTTATTTTATCCATTTTTGAAAATAAAATGTTTCGACCTTCCCATGTGCTCCAAATAAGGGTTCCTTTGATAAATTCAATCTTGAGCCATGTCATAATTGTTTGACAGGAAAGAACCACAGAGGAGGAAGCTGAACATCAGATTGTACAATTATGTACAATTTGGAAGGAATCAATCTCTTTGGGAAACACACTGGCTAAAGTGGAGATGATTGTAGACTTGTTGAATATAAGCAAGAATGTGTGCAATTCTCTGGTCTGAGCGTAAACAAGAAGAATGGGTGTCAAACTCACGTTGTCACAGCGGTGTCATGTGACATATTGGGACTTCCCCCCCCCCTTGCTAAACTGGGTGTGGGCATGGCCAGTGCATGATCCATCTGGCCCGTGGGTCACGAGTTTGACAGCCCTGAATTAGATGGCCAAATACAATGAAGAGATTGGGACATTAACAAAGGAAAATGCCTGATTTCTTGCTCAATACTTGTGGTCGACAGGTAAATCCCATTATCGTTTTAAAGAGACAAAGACCAAAATAATCCCGGAACAAAGTTTATTCTTTGCAAAGGGCCTTTCTCTCTAAAGTAGAGAAAGACGAAAATAAAACAATTTACACAAGTTTTTATAGTCTTCAGGAACATCAGAATACACGTCAATAAAGTACCTTGGGAATCAATTTCAGATCTTACATAACATCTTATATAACATATGCAGTACATAATTCCACCCTGGAAATTCCCCAATTCCCAACAGAAATACCCCTCAAAAACATCAATTGCGTACTTCCTTTAATTAATAAGGGCAAGTTAACCCAAGAACATATTTCCTGCAAAATAAACATCCTCTAAAAAACACAGGAATTACACACTTCCTTTCTCATGTTCTTAAATGTCAGCTAAATTATATAATCAGGTTATACAAGGTAAAACAAAACCTTAACATGATTTCAAAATGGCGTAACTCAGGTTATGCTTTTACAGGAATAATTCCTATTTTTCTCACAATACTAATAAAAGAAATGGTAGCAATTGATACAACAGTAATTTTTAAAATACTAATAATTGTAATGTCCTAGGAAGTGTCTGGCTAATTCTCACATCTATGCTAGAAATTAATGTCCTTCTATACACAATTGCTATGGTAAAGATAAATCAGGCTTTATAGGGTTACCATATTTCAAAGGATGATACATCAGAACTGCAGAATATTCCTTGACACTTGCATAGCACAGATTTTTATGGATTAATTTACTTAAAATTTTATATGTGACACTTTTTGGACTATTTTATACAAGAAAATAGAAACCATGGAAGATAAAAACAACCGATACAAAATAAAATAAAACAACAAAAGCAGCTTTTGGGGATATCCAAGATTTGAAAAAAAAAGTTAAAAAAAGAATTAGTTATTAAAAAAGAAGGGGAAGTAGAAAATAATGTCATAGAATCTGAGCATGGACAAAACGTGCTAACTGATTATTGGACAGAGGATCCTAGAATGCATGGCATCGAATGAAATGGATTACTTTGAAAATAGGAGCATTCCATAGTCCATGGGGTGGGGCAGATCCATGGGGTGGGGCAGATAGGAGAAGAGAGGAGAGGAGAGGGGAGGGGAGGAGAAGGGAAGAGAAGAGAAGAGTTCTATTTTCCATTATTGCTATGCCATAACACTTAAAAGGGATCCCAAAGTTTATATTCTTACTGCAGATGTGGATAAGAATACCAGAATAAAAACAATGCCTTAAGATATTTACAATGCAAATCTTCAGGAATTTCAGAATGAACAGCCATTGCTGTTCTATCTAAAATCAGTTATCCAATATCTAGCTTCCATTAAAAATCTGATGTTGAATTTTCAAAAACAGATCCTTGCAAACAATTAATTATTTCACATAAATTCGGTAGTAATAGGGTAAGAATGGTAAGGTTCATCTTATCAGGAATGATAAGATGGGAAGCATTTTTTACTTGTGTATCTAGCAAATGTGTGTATAGTAACAGCATTTCTAAGTTATGAATGTGAGCTTTCAGAGTAAATTTCAAGATGAATTGCTTACTTAATTCCAACATAACATATCCACAGCATTATTTCAACTTTGTCAATAGTCAATTAATTTTGAATTTGCATGCCCCATCGAGTCTCTACAATCTTCAGACAGTGGTTCTGTAGTGTATGTAGTACACTACATATTGAGATTCTTTTCTAAGGCTGGCTGAGTCCAATTGTTCAAAATGGAGAAATATATTTTATTTATTGATTTACTGTCATATCTTCAAACACTTTCCTTCTTAAGTATATCAGTCAGGTATAATAAATAGATTTTGTTTCTTTATTGATTTATTATAACCATAGTTATATATTCAATCTCTAGGGTATATCTGTGTGCTATGTTTGTCTGTATAAGTGTATTATTTGATCTGCTATACACTTTGGTTCACCTTTACTAATTTCTCTACTTTCTAAACTTTTAAAATCACAACAGCCTTAGATGGTGAAGACACCATCTAATCCTTCATACTGTGTCCAACATCAGTATTAGCCACTAATATCCATAAATTTGCCTAGCCCTCTTCTAAATTGGTAGCTATATTTGAAGTTAGCATATTCCATGGTTTAAATTACTTCACATTTAGTGTCATTGAATGACTTTGAATTATAATAATCTGAAAGTGGAAAAAGAATTTCTCTTTAATATTTTTGCACATCATGGATAATTTTATCTTAATATGTTTCTTTTTTAATTGCCTTTACTCTAAATTAAACTTTTCCTTACAAGGGAACTGCTCTAATAATTTGAATTATTTCTTCTAGCAAGTTTTCCAGCTGCTTAATTTTTTGAGGTATGATAACTAGAATTAACCAGATCAGAATTTGTTTTAGAGTATGCTGCACATTTAAAGTTTTTTTGGGAAGAAGAAAGAAAGAAGGAAGGAAGGAAGGAAGGAAGGAAGGAAGGAAGGAAGGAAGGAAAAGAAAAAAAGAACCAAATGTTAGTTCATGATAGATTTGTACAAGATTTATATAAGTGCAATGTCATTATATACAATTGCTTTTAATTCCCTTCCTATTAATTCTTAGCATAGAATTTTCTTAAATAAATTTTTAAAATACATACTGAGTTGACATACTCACTGCAAAATTCACCATGACTGGGGAGATTCAATGATCCTCAAGCCTCACTGAGAGCCAATACTGAGGAAAAGAATCAGTCAAATTCTTAGCTACAGTATATTATAGGTACAAAAGGAATTTAACTCCATGTGGCTAAACATGCAGCTGGATTGACAGGCTCACAGGCAGCAGAAAGGAAAATGCTAATCCCCTTTCATTCCCCCCTCCCAATCTGTTTATAGAAGTTGGGATCAGACATCATGGAGAGTAGAATAAATAAGAAGCTCATGGAAGACAAAAATATATTTCTCCATTATACCTACTAAGCTAGGAGTTGGAAAATTTTAGACTGTGGACTTTTTGAACAATTGTATGGCTAACTTGGAAATGTGCAGTTTTGGTGATTAAAATGTGCCTTGCACAAAATGTCATTAAAATAATTTTAATGTTTTTACTATAATATACTATATAATATAATATACCTGTCAGCAAACATAATCAAAATCTGCTACTCAGGATCTGAGGTCCTGGATTATAGCACTCTTAGCCAAATGTTTCTGCATTACTCAGGGAACGATGGGGTGAGGTGAGTGTGCAGCCAAATTGGCAAAGCTGCTATAATACAACTAGTCCAGAAGTCTTTGGCCAGACTTTCCTCAAATTATCAGTACTACCAGTAAGCAAGTCCAAGCAACACTGCACTGTAGCTGTGCAGTCTTTTGAGCTTGGTTGTACACACTTCATAGCAATTTATGGAATCATGTGGAAAATTTTTAAATATCTAATTCAGGAAGTTCCAATACTGACTCTTGATGATGACCACATTTGTTCCCAAATGAGTGATTGAAGTTTCCTTCTCATGAGATAGAATATTTTGTAATACTCATAGCTTTTAAAAAAAAATTGGTTTAGCATTCCTATAATTCTGTTGCAATATTTTCAGGATCAGACTCAATAAGATTAGCAAGAGTTAAAGATTTAACTATATATTCTTTTATTTACAATAGGCATTCTATATTCACTGAATATTCACAGATAGAAGCAAGGGAAAGGGTGTAGGTAGCTCCTTATATATACAATGGGTGGAGCTATATGTGGGAGTGGTGAATTATGAATACATTAAGAAGTGAAGAATAAGTTAACCCCTGATACCCTGTTTGTACACTATTTACACATTAGAGAATAAGGCATTTACATCTGACAAATCCCCCTCTAAATGCCGATTCGTTATACAACACCAGTTACACTCAGATTCAGGACAATACAAAACATACAACTTAGAGGTTAAATATTTGTGCTGCTTAGAAGGTAAAGGCTTTGTCAATATATCAGCTAATTGTTCTGAAGTGTCGCAATGCACTGCTTTAATAAATCCATCCTGAGATAATTGTCTCACATGTTTAAATTTTATATCTATATGTCTGGACCTTTGTCCAATGGCATCAGATCTAGATATTTCAATGGCTGCTTTATTGTCTTCATGCATAACAAAAGGCAAAGCAGGTTTTTTCCAGACATCTGAAATTAAATCATTAAACCATACAAGGTTATTTGCGGCTTTGGATAAACAAACATATTCCGCTTCTGTCGTTGAAGTGGCCACTAGTTCTTGTTTACCAGTGTACCAGTAAACTGGACAGTCATTTAAGAGAAATACATAACCAGATGTACTTTTTCTGCATGAGATGTCTCCAGCCCAATCTGCATCTGCATAACACGTAAGCTTTGGTTCTTTATTATCATTAGGTTCTAACATTAAACAAAAGTCTAGTGTACTTTTTAGATATCTTAAAATTCTTTTAACAGCTTCCCAGTGATACATTGTTGGTTTGCTGACATGCCTGGATAATAAATTGAGTGGTAAAGCGATATCTGGTCTAGTCCAATTAGATATATAAAGGAGTGAACCTATGATTGATCTATAAAATGTGTTGTCCTTGAATTCGGGAGAAGATTCATCAGTATTTCTTAGAAAGTCAGTTTGCATAGGAGTATCACAAGGTTTGGCATTGTTTAAGTTGCATTTATTTAAAAGTTCTATGATCTTATCTCTCTGGGTAAGTTTGAATCCCCTTTTTGTCTTATTAATTTGAACACCAAGGTATTTGTTTACCTTGCCTAAAGATTTCAACGAGAAATGCTCATTTAATTTAGTTACAAAAGTTTCTCTTCTCTCTTTATGTTTTCCTATGTATAAAATGTCATCCACATAAATCAATACAAATTCAATGTAATCATCACCCCTCTTGACAAAGAAACAATTATCAGCAGTGGTAGCGTTGAAGTCCATGGTCTTAAGTACTTTTACTAAACAATCATACCACCGTTTACCAGATTGTTTTAGCCCGTATAAACTCTTGTTTAACAACCAAGTCTCATTTCTGTTTGTGTATTGACTGTGAGGTGCTCTTACGTATATTTCTTTATCTAGTTTTGCGTGTAGGTACGCAGTCTGTATGTCATATTGGAATACATCAAGATTGAGTGCTGATGCTACCACTAGAGCTGTTTTGACACTCTCTGTTCTTACAGTGGGGGAATACGTGTCAGTATAGTCCTCCGGATATTTCTGTGCATAACCCTGTGCAACTAATCTAGCTTTGTATAGAGTATTTCCTCCCTCTAAATTCTTAATTTTATATATCCACCTGGTACCAATAATTGTCTTATCTTTAGGTGCAATTGCAGGTGTAAATACATTTAATCCTTGTAAACTTTCCATCTCTTTCTTCATTGCTAATTCCCATTTTTCTTTTTCTTCGCGAGGAAGTTTTAACACTTCCTCATATGTATTGGGTGTTGTTGGTTCACCATCCATATGCATTACATAATCCTTGTATTTATTTGGCATTTGATTTCTGGTGTTTCTAATGATTTTTTCGGGTTTACTATCGTTATCATGCAAATATCTTGCTTCCTTTTTTGTTAGTGTGTCTGTCTTTATTTTGTGTTGGCTATTTGTCCAAGTCTTGGTTTTGTTTTTATATTTGTTGATATTTTGCTTTTCTATAGTCCCTTTCTCATGAGGTTTTGTATCTTCATATTTATTTGGGAATATTTCATTAAGATGTAATTTAGACCAGTTGGCTTGTTCATGGAACACAGCTGTTCTGGAGACTATAAATTTGTTGTTACTATCAATGAATCTGTATCCTTTAGTGCCAGTCTCATATCCCATAAATCTGAGTCTTCTGGACACATTTTCTCCCTTTCTTCTTAATTGTTTAGGTATGTGTACGTCTGCTGTGACCCCAAATATATGCATGTGTGCTAATTTTGGTTTTCTATTATACATCACTTCATATGGTGTCTTATTTACAATGCTGGACCATGTTCTATTTTGTGTGTAATTTGAATAATGTAAGGCTTCTGACCAGAATTGTTTGCTTAAGCCAGCATCTTCCAATGTGCATCTAATCATGGTTTGTAATGTGGAATTTTTTCTCTCTGCAATCCCGTTTTGGAACGCAGAAAATGGACTAGATGTGTAATGTAACATTCCTTTGTCTTTTAACCATTGGGAGAATTCTTTAGACATGAATTCGCATCCTCTGTCTGTCATAATTTGTTTTATTTTGATGTTGTGTTGTGTTTCTATGCGTTTGTAAAATTCTTTAAATTTTTGAAATGTTTCATCTTTGTGTTTTAATGTATAAACAAATCCATAGCGGCTATAATCGTCCACTATTGTCAGGAAGTAACGTTTTCTATAAGTGATTGATGGAGTTAATGGACCAACTAAGTCCATGTGTACTAAATCAAAAATTTTGTTAGTTGATCTAGTAGATTTTCTTGGCCTGGGACTAGTTTTTAGTTTTGTAGATTTACATACTGAGCATTCCAGATAATTTTCACAATTTTTTATTTTAACACCTTCTGCGTGTTCAGTCATTTTTTGTACTACAGGAAAACTGGCATGTCCTAACTTCCTATGTAAGATGTGAGCACACTCATCATGAATTGGTTTACCTATTTTTGGCTTCTTATCGTTGTGTGCATCTGTGTGATCATGAGATATTTTACATTCATCATTGTCACTGTTGCTAACATCCTCATCATCTATTTCAATACAATCTTCCATATTTGAATCAATGTTATGTAACCATTTTTCTTTTGTTATCAGATAAGGTAGGCTTCCTTTAATCACCACAGTGCCTACATTTATTTTATTCTTTTCCAAAGTTGCCTTTCCTTTTGAAAAGACAATGTTAATGTCAGAATCTCTGCTTAGTTTTATGGCACTTAATATGTTATGAGGTATTTCAGGTATTAGTAATACCCCCTCTATTTTTCCTAGACCAGGCAAGGTTACATTTCCTCTACCTAATACTTGAACCTTTTCTTGGTTAGCTACCTTAATTACAAATTTATCTTCTGCAAATGAAGACAATATACTTTTGTTATTAGTGGTGTGATTAGTTGCTCCAGAATCAATAAGCCAATTATTGTTCTCACTTTGCTGTGTGTTAGTGTTGTCTTGTTTATTTAATCCATTCAGTGAACCAGATTTTCTATCCTTTGAATTGTCTCTGCCCCCTCTATTCTCTCTGTGATTTGGTGGGCTCCTATATCTATGCCTTTCTATGGAAGGCTGTCTATAATCGTATTTGTTTCTGTATTCTGATCTATATCTTTCTTTTAAAAATTTTGGGCAATCTCTTCTATTGTGTTCCCTGGATCCACAATTATGACATTTAAATGTTCCACTATATTTTTCTTGGAAAGCTACTTTCCTATATGGTTTGTGTTCTGTGTGATTGTTAGAACGATTCCTTCTTGAATTATCTTCTGTTATCAATTTGTTGGATAGACTTTCTATGGATAAATATCCTAGATTGATTGTGTCTAAATGTGACATAAAATTGTCCCATGATGGATCAAGTGAGTTGATAATAACACTTTTCATTGTTTGGTCTGAAATCACCTCCCCCCTCAAATGCAGTTCAGCTCTTATTTTGTTCAAAGATATTAAATGTTCACTTATGGAAACCCCTGGTTTTACCCTAGACGAAAAGAAATCTTTAGATATCCTTGTGGTGGTAGCTACACTGTCACTGTGAAACAAATTAAACATGCATTGAATAATTTCTGAAACAGTCAAATTTGGCTTAATGCTGTGAT